GCATGGGGATTTACTTGAGGAGGTATATATGACAATTCCTCCTGGATATTCTAGTAAGGGGGAGTTGCCTCCTAATGCTGTTTGCCGTCTCACTAAGTCTCTTTATGGTTTGAAGCAAGCTTCTAGGCAATGGTTTGCCAAATTTTCCAACACTGTTCTTTCTCTTGGTTTTACACAATCTCAGTCTGAAAATTCTTTATTTGTCAAGAAGAATGATACTCTCTTTGTTGCCCTGTTGGTTTATGTTGATGATATCCTTGTTGTTTCTAATGATTCCTCTGAGTTGCAGCAGTTAACTTCTGTTTTGGACAGCAAATTTAAACTCAAAAATCTTGGAGCTCTCAAGTATTTTCTTGGATTGGAGATAGCTCGTTCTCCAAAGGGCATTTCTCTTTGTCAACGCAAATATGCCTTACAAATTTTACAGGATTCAGGGCAACTCGGCTGCAAACCGCATACCACACCTATGGATATTAATCTTAAACTATCCCTGCATGAAGGTGACCTGCTGCCTGATCCAAAGCAATACCGTAGACTGATTGGTCAACTGCTCTATCTTACTGTATCTCGGCCTGACCTCTGCTATGTGGTGAATCACCTAAGTCAATTCATGTCATCACCAAGGATTCCTCATTTACATGCTGTTTATCGTGTTTTAGCTTATCTCAAATCCACTGTTGGGCAAGGTGTTTTTTTCTCATCTTCATCTTCTTTGCAATTAAATGCTTTTTGTGATTCTGATTGGGCTTCTTGCCCTGATAGCCGCAAGTCTACATCCGGTTTTTGTGTTTTTCTTGGTAATTCTTTAATCTCTTGGAAGTCCAAGAAGCAAAATACTATTTCCCGGTCTTCGGCTGAGGCGGAATACAGATCCATGGCTGTTACTACTTGTGAATTGTTGTGGCTTCTCTCCTTATTACGTGATTTACATGTTGCTCATACTGGTCCTGCACATCTGTTCTGTGACAGTAAGGCTGCCCTTCATATTGCTGCAAATTCTGTGTTTCATGAGCGCACAAAGCATATTGATATTGATTGTCATCTTGTACGGGAGCACATTCATAAAGGAACTCTACGCACATTTCATGTCCCTTCTTCCAGCCAGCTTGCAGACTTGCTCACTAAGGCTTTACCTCCTACTCCTTTTCATTCACTTCTTTCCAAGATGGGAGTTTTCAATATCTACTCTCCATCTTGAGGGGGAGTATTACCATATATTTTCATTTTTTATTCTAGAACCTTGTATAAGGTGCCACGTTGGATTCAGTTGTAACAAACTTATCTCTCATTTCTTTCTTTCCACCTTCAGTAGGAATGTGTATATAACAACACTCACATGTAAAGCTCTGATGCAATGAATAACAATATGAATTTTCACTCTCTCTTTCTGTTTTCTGTTTCTAAAATAATAAAATCAATGAAAAAAATTTGCTGGACGTAACATTTGAAACAAAGTCCAGCAAATTATGAATTCTGCGAATTTACTAAGGATTTATTATTTTTATGTTACATAAGAAATAATTTATCTCCTACACATATAAATTTAAAATAGGTCTGACTTTTTTTTTTCTCTCCCTTTATGGAAGTGGATCTACCTACATAAATAAATTTGTAAGAGATAATAATTATCTCTTACTAAATGAAAAAACTATTACCCATTTAATAAGCTACATATATACCGAATTAGTTAGGTAGTTGAGTAATGGATGAAGACTCTTTGTTTTCAATGAATTTAGAGTTTCTATGTACCCTGCATCCACGTTAGACATGGATTTGTTTTCTTTTTCGTTTTCAATGAATTTACAGTTTTTGTGTACATTCATCCACATTGAACACGATTTTGTTTTTATCTATTTGTCCTTTCTCTTCTCTTTGCCTCCACGTGTCTTACTTCAATTATCTTGAGCATTGACTTAAAATGATATCAGAGATATATATTGGAACCCTACACTACAATGTGTCTATTTCACAATTAATGATATCTTTGACAGTAAAAATGACTGCATTACATTGCTTGTACTCCTATGATATCTACATAATTGAAAAACGAATTAATAGAAACATGAAAATCTTCCAATTAGATAGATGAAAAATGTTATAATACAGTTTTAAGGTATGAGACATAAGTTGGAAACATAAGATTCCGATATGAAATTTATATTAACTTTAGCCTCTCACATCTAACAAGTTAGCTTTTGAAATAAGGCTCTCTCAAGATCTGTATTAATAGATATTATTATAATGTTAGGTTGCAAACTATGAGATTTAAGCTCTCTTACTTTATAAGTTAGCTCGTCAATTAAGCACGAAATGTTTTGTTTGCGTTTATCAACGCTAAGAATCGATGCTTAGCGTCATATTTCAACCGCATAATTAATCAGCATGGTGTCGTGCCATTCGGGTCACAATGCCCTTGCACAGTATAGAAAACATTCAAATAGTACTGCATAGAAAACTAGTTGCTAAATAAAGAAAATTAACTATTAAACCAAGTACTACTGTATGGTTTTTCCTCTGTTTTCTGTCCTATTTTCTTCCTTTGTCAAGTCATGTATAGCACCACACTGCACGGACCAGAGAGTTTACCTTACCCATCCCACGTATGAAAGTACGGACACTTCTAAAAATAGAGAGAGTCGTGTTCGACACGCTCCGACAGGATGTCGGACACGCGGTCAACTTTTTCCGACACGTTGACTATTCCGACACGCGAATTTGACCGTGTCCGACACGGTCAAATGACATTTTCGTAATTTTTTTTAATTTTTTTTTAATTTTTTTTTAAAAAATTAAAATATATTAATAAAGCTTCCACTTGATCATATTAATTTTATTTTTTTGTCTTTTTTCCCCTTAAGTAGATAAGAGATCATCTCAGCATTATTGTTGTCAATTCCTATCACGCTCTTGTTGTATCTCCTTGTCTCTGATCTCTCACTCTATAATATGATTTGATCTCTCTATCTGATATTATATATCTCTCATTCCAGTTCTTATTTTTTTTTATTAAAGCTTCCATCTTTATAATGTGTTGATGGGTATTATTAATTTAGTTTCTTTTTTTTGTTAAATTATTAAATATTAAATGAAATATATACTATATAAATTAAAAGTATTATTTAATATTAAAACGTGTTTCAACGTGTCGAAATTCATAATTTTTTAAGATTGACGTGTCGGAGTATCGTGTCACGTATCGCGTGTGATATAGGTGCTACATACCTCATGAGTCACGTGAACACTAAGTACCTAGTGAACAAAGATAAAGAGGAAACACAGACCCACTAATGCTGTAAAGATAAATAGACAGATACAAATCCCAGTTAAGGAATATATCATATATTCTCAGTATGCGGCTTATAAAGTTTAACCAATACAAATGCAAGCAAATCTGTCAGTGAAAACACAAGTACTTAAAGTGTCCAAAACCCAAAAATTGCAACTACCACACACAATTCTTACTCTGTGGCAAGCCAAGAAAATGGCATCTTTAAAGACCGGAATCTAATAATATCTTTAGCAGCCTTGCTTATCAGTATATTTATCCCCTGCTCCCTTTCTCCTCTGGTCATTACTCTCCACAAAATAGGAACAATCCAGAAATTTCAGTTAGATTCATCCATGTTTTCTATTTTATTAAAAGTGGATTTGGGATACCATCATTTCAGTGTTTGTATGCAGGAGGAGAATTTTCTTTTTCTCTTACAGATCCATCCAAAATCATACTGTCATTTTTTCTTACATGTGGTGGACTCCATCACATGTTATCTCTTCAACAGCGGATAAAGACTCTCTTGCAACACGAGGGTCGATTAGTCCATATATGCAAGATGTATTCAAATATTGATAAATCTAATATTTGATAATAGAAAAATGTTTATACTAATATTATTTTTATACAACCACTCCACCAAAAAAATTGTAATCCATTTTATACTATATTCACATGGATAACTCACCTTTAGCAAATTACATGTGATTGCTCTCAAAAGCATTATTTTTATTTGACAACTTAAATATATTGCAATGCACAACTTCATGCAGATGAAAATCAATAATATAAGGAAGAATGGTGAATGGGGTTTTTTTTTTTGTTGCCATTCCTCATTACATTTCGAATTTATTGTTTCTTTTCGGACAGCATGTGAGGGAGGATATATTGACTACTAAAAGTTTCCACTGCCACCTTATTACCTATCTAATCACCATTGGATTAACATTTTCTCTCTCTTCAAATTTTTTTTAACATTCTTTCTCTTTGATCCAATGATGATTTGATAGGTAGTAAGATGATAGTGGACACTTTTGGTAGTCACAATATCCCCCTCCCAAACTATTTACCCCTATATATTAAAACAGAGCGTATTCTCTTAAAAATGACATAGTTTATTATCATAACATTCTTGACTTATTTGCTTTGGGGCTTAGGCCCAACCTAATGCCCCATCAAAACAGTATCTCGATTTTTATTAAAAACTATATTTTAATTCGGATTTCATTAGAACTCATTGTTGGGAGCCAGTTATTATTAGATTTGGGCAAAATCTATGCCGCATCAATACCAATTCATTATTACGTCGGTGACACATGAGGGGGGTATTTTACCCCATAAATTTTAACCTAAGTTTGACACCTAATATTTTTGCACATAAATATTAACTAATTTTTTGTACATGAGTAATGCATAAGCTATATACAACTTACATCTATAAGAATAAACAGTACTGCACGTCATTGATTAGCAAGATTTTCTTACATTATCAATGGGGAAAAGCTAACTAGTTCTTTTTTTATTACTCCTAAGCTATAAGCTCACGATATTAACTCTTTCACCTTATGAATTAAGTCAATCAACGTCTATGATCTAGGCATAAAAATTAATCAATCAATTATAACATCAGATAATAAATGGACTTATTAATTCTTCTACCAATATTTAAAAAAATTGTAGGATATTTTTAAAAATAAAAATAAAAAAATCATAGTTGATATTGATTGATTTACCAATAACCCTTACAAGAGCATTCACCATCCTTAAAATGATGAAACCGGTTTCTGTCTCTGACAATAATTTCTCTGTTAAAAATTTTGGATATCATTTTTGCTACATCATGGCAATCCCAGCAAATCCTCAGGTTCATAACAACCCTAATGGGAACACCTTTCAAACTAATTAACCCAAAAGCAATGGCTACCTTCTCACTATGTTTACCCAAAGTATCCTCCTTTTCCTCTTCTTCTATATCAAAAAGCACAGGGTTAGTGTTAGCCACATAACCTGCTAATCTAAGACGCCTAGAGATCTCTTCTAGCTTTAATTCAATCTCATCAAATCTTGGGTGAGACTTGTCCCCAATAATGAACTCATGAACTTCACCATCAACTTCTATGACACTACAACCAGGGAGCTTCTTCACACCTTTAGCCTTCATGGTCTGCCGCAAACTACTAACTTTTTCCCAATTCTTATAATCAGCATATATGTTTGATAAAAGGACATAAGCACCATCATTCTTGGCATCTAGTTCCACTATCTTTCTTTGTGCAAGCTCGCCCATTTCCTTGTTTTTATACATTCTACAAGCATGAAGCAAAGCGCTCCATGCACCAGCATGAGGTTTCATAGGCATGCTACTGATGAAGTTTAAAGCTTCTTCAAGACGCCCTGCTCGACCATACAAATCAACCATTAAGCCATAATGCTCAAGTTGAGGGTCAATCCCATACAAATTCCTCATTGAGTCAAAATGCTTTCGACCTTCCTCCACCAGTCCAACCACACTGCACCCTCTTAAGACAGAAATGAAGGTTACTTCGTTTGGCTGAAATCCATCTTGTTTCATAGAGGAAAAAAGATCCAGACTCTCCTCACCAAGACCATTCATGGCCAATCCACCAATGGCACTACTCCAAGTGTAAACATTCTTTTCCTTCAATCCCCAAAAAACTTCCATGGCCTTATCAATGTTCCCACATTTTGCATACATGTCAATAAGTGCAGTTCCCAGCGTTACCGTCATTCTGAGCTTGTTCCTCTCCACATATCCATGAGTCCATCTTCCCTGATCCAATGCCCCCAAGTGAGTGCACGCAGACAAGACCAAAACCATGGACACCTCATTAAGTTTGACACCCTCTATTTGCATCAAATGGAACAAATTTAACGCCTCCCTTGACCTTCCACATTGTGCATACCCTGAAATCATTGCATTCCATGCAATAGGATCTCTTTGAGGCATTACGTCGAACATCTTCCTTGCAAAGTCGATATCACCACATTTGGCACAAGCATGCAACATAGCAGTTTGGCAAACCAAATCTGGCTCATCAATCCCTTCAAACACTACATGGCATGAACTAAGACAACCCAATTCAGCATACATGAAAATCAACCCGGTTTGCACATGTGGGTCATGCTCAAACCCGTACTTTATGAGAGCACCATGAACAGAGAAACCAGTCTCGTGCACGTGAAGCTGCGCACACGTGCGAACGAGGAAGTTGAATGTGTAGTTATCAGGGGAGAGATTGTTGGAAGAATGGAGAATCTTGGTGTAAAAATGGAAGCTTTTGTTGGGGGTGGAGCTTTTGGAGTAGGCCCTGATGAAGGAGTTGAGGGTAAAGAGGTTGGGGTTGTCACATTGGTGAAGAAGGACATGGTTGGCATAGTCAAGATTTGCTGGGTTTTGAAGGGCTACAGTGGCAACGAATTGGCCATGGAAATGAGGGTTGTTGAGAATCCCCTTAACAAGCAACTGGGCATGTATTTGCTTCAGCTCTCTGCGTGTGGTGCATGATTTTAGCAGTGAAATGGTTGGGTGCTTTGCAATGCTTGTCCACGAGTTCATGTTATTAGCTGCATTACATGAAATGCGATGTGGCATTGAAAAGCTGAAAACAGAAAACATGCATAACTTATATTCAACAGCAGTTGCAACTTGCAACACATGAATAAGTTCAAATATTATATAAAACTAGTGCATTATGCGATGCACTATATATATATATATATATATATATATATATATATAGGGAAATATATTGTGAACTAAGTTGTGTTACTACCAAGTGATTACCAATCAATCTTACCGTTAGATCGATTATATTGATCCAACGGTTATATTTATTTCCATTTTTGTATGGTCATGATTCCTCAAATTTAATACTTTATATTTATTTTCACCTTTGTATGGTTATGATTTTCCATATTTAATGCTTTCACTTTAAATATGGGGAATCATGACCATACAAAGATAGAAATAAATATAACCGTTGGATCAACATAATCGATCTAACGGTGAGATTGATTGGTAGTCACTTGGTTGTAACACAACTTGGTTGTCACAATATATTTCCCCTATATATATATATGTGTGTGTGTATGTAGAATCCTTTAATAACAGTGTTAAATTTGAAGTTTGATACCTTTATCTGAAAGTCGTTAAATAAAAAAAGATCAATAGTGTCACATGCTTACCAATCATAATCAATGATCTTTTTTGATCTAACAACTCTCAGATGAGGTGTCAAATATCAAATTTGATATTGGTGTCAAAAGATCCTACCCCATGTGTATATATATATATATATATATATATATATATATTAGTTGTTTACATTTCTGCAGCTGTTGTACGTGCAGCAATTAAATACTTGCCATATATATGCTTGAAAGCATTAAATGTGGGGAATTATAACCATACAAAAGATGAAAACATTAAATATGGAAAATCATAACCATACATCTGTTGTTGCTGTACATAAAGCGACTGTAGAAATGATTTTACCATATATTAGTTTATTACCCGTGCGATGCATGAGAAAAAAAGAAATCAATTTGTCTGTCTCGTAAAAATTAACGCAAATCGTAAAAGTATATCGCTGCATTTTATGCAATTAAGATAATTAATGGCCTTTTGAATTATCACATTTTTTTTTTGGTAAACTGAATTACCATATTTAATTTCAACTATGAAGTGTTTCTTAGAATATTAAACATACTAACTCAAAAGCTAATTACCAAATAAAAAGACCCAACACATATCTTATTTATGAGGAAGGATATTGTGGCAACCAAGTTGTGTTACTACCAAGTGACTACTAATCAATCTCACAGTTAGATCGATTATGTTGATCCAACGGTTATATTTATTTCCATCTTTGTATGGTCATGATTCCCCATATTTAAAGTGAAAGCATTAAATATGAGAAATCATAACCATACAAAAGTGAAAATAAATATAAAGTATTAAATTTGGGGAATCATGACCATACAAAGATGGAAATAAATATAACCGTTGGATCAATATAATCGATCTAACGGTAAGATTGATTGGTAGTCACTTGGTAGTAACACAACTTGGTTGTCACAATATCTTTCCCCCTTACTTATATACAAAATATTTGCATTTTTTTACAGAATGATTTTGTTTTTTTAATTCATTTTTTTGTTATTAATGAAATAAATTTTTTTATAAATAGAGTTAACAATTACCTAAGCAAAAAAAAAAGTGAGAAATATTGATGCTAAACTCTTTTTCCACCTATCAAATTAAAAATTTAAATTTGAAAAATAATGGAAAACATTAAATGCTGAACCATTTTCAATGCAGAAAGTAGTGGGATTTTATTGTATTTTTATTATGACTTTCATTGAACACAACAAAATTAAAAACGTTACACTTTCCAATGCAGAAAATAGGGAGATTTTATTGTATTCAAAATTCAAATTTGAACTACAATGAATGGTGAACTATTTTTCTACCAATGAATTAATAATAATTCAAATTCAAATTGTTTTTATAATTGAAAATTTTTAAGTTAATGCAGTGTGAATACAAAGTGGAGAATGCATGACAAAGTGACACGTCAGCAAATTTGTCAAAGAATGGTTTTTCTTTAGTATATATATATATATATATATATATATATATATATATATATAGATTATAGGAAAAAACTATTCATTCTACATGAGATAAGTTTTCCTTCCTACACATCTTTCGATAACCGTGTCATTTTTTTTCCAGGTGGTGTAGCCCACAAATTTATCTCAATGATATGAAATAACTTATTTCCTTTAGTATGATATTAATAAAATCCAAAATTATAAATATGTAAATTGCACTAAAATACATATTCATCAAGGCATCATCCTTTGTTGATATAGTTTCCAAGTGCTATGAAAGTTAGATATATACATTCCCAAAGTGAGAGTTGCCAACGTTGGCAAAACAACATTATAAGACCTTTGGCTAAAAGAATTGTGAGGTTAAAATTGATTGCATAATTTTTTTAAAACTAATGCAATTAAACACGTCATTGATACTGACAAGATTAGTCCCGTTACTAGTAATGACGAGACTGATGTCATGTCAACGCCACGTAGGCAATCCCATTATCATAAAATTTCAGAAGATAATAACTTTTTATTCGGTATTTAAATCAAATGATTTTTTTATTTCCTATAACTTTTCTATATCTATGCAATGACACTTCATTTAACATATTTTATCTCCTATAAATATAGTCATATTTTGTAACAATGGTACCACAAGAATGTTTAAATCCAAATGCTCCCGAATTCTTTCCAAACCAACACCATAAATTGTAGCACATGCTATTGATTGACACGTTTATCGATGTGAATGATGTTATTTAATTCCTTTTCTTATTTTTCAACTATCCAACAATAACAAATAACGACAGTGGTTTCCTCTACATCAACACGCACATGCAACAATGGATAACAAAATTTCTTCTTATGGAAAATCCTAAAGTACTGATCTTGTTTGTGAAAAAATCCTTGATCAAAGGCGAGCTAACCATGGGAAAACTAAGCCAATAAATGGATGGCACGTGCTGCAGGCTGCGACACACATACATACACTTTAGAAAAAAAAAAATGTGTCGGACATCGACACATTCTGACACTCGGTCAACGCTCCGACACGTTTCCAACACGCGGTCTGTAACACCCCGTAGTACTCCAGTTGTTAACATACATGATATTTAGAGTACACAGCGGAAGAATTTGTTTTAAAAGAATAATAAAGTGTCTTATAAAAGTACGAGTAAACGCTTTCCAAAACATTTCTGAAAATATTTTTAAAAAACGTTCACATGAAATACTGCTAAGCGTAAATCTAAACATACAACTACTAATTAATCTCATTAGCCAGTATTAGTAGTCGTTGACTAACCGGATATGACAACAAGTGTCATTCCTGCCAGAATCTCACGAACAACATAACAACTGTATTTTGGATAATGGGAAAACTTGGGTCCCACACATACCATAACATGATAGATACAATAATTTAAACAGACAGCTCACAAGTCTCACACGGACTGCAATCCCCTCTCGGTCAATACAAACAATAAGGCTCCATGCCCAAAATAACTGAATGCATACGTCAAGTCTATATTAATTCTAAAATATAAAAGCATCAGTAAATAATCCATGGCTCTAAGAATACAATCATGAGCCTAAATAAATACATAACGTAATCTCAACATAGAATAATTAGGCATGTTAATAATCATACATGCCATCACAAAGTCTAAAGAGAATATAAAATAATTAGCTGCGTCATCCACTACTCCAATGCGGGGGGCCTTGCCCCTAGAAGCATCACCACTACTCTGGGTACCTTAAATGATGTCCCCAAACGGGGTGAGATAACAACATTTTAGTAAGCTCAAGGTTTATAAATGGTCCTCTAATCCCCTGAGCCCACTTCCTGCATGACAAGTCAGATAAAAAACATATAATACAGGCATACAACATAAACATAGCATCATCATATCATCCTTGTGTAACCCTAGGGTCAAAGCCATAGACGATTACACATGTGTGACTCCAGGGTCAAGCCATAGACAGTCAACACAACCTTTGTATGAAATAGCTCCTAGAGTTAAGCCATAGACAACCTACATACCATAATCATTGGCCAGGATTCTCATAACATATATCATCAGTGCATCATCATAACATCAAGAATCATATAACATCTATATGAATGTGAATGAATGCATATATACGTCATACCACATACTTTCATACAATACAACCATAATGCCCACCATCATGGTGGGGCCACAAGAGAGAGGGTGCAACCAGAACTAGGAGCTTACCTCACTGCGCTTATCTTAAGCCTAACTCCAACAGTAAAATACGTATGCTCCAATCAACTCTCAAGTGTCAAATCCTCTAGGCAAACCTTGAGCAGGAATCATTTACATCATTAATACTCAATCACTTAATGATTCCATATTTCATTCTTACATGCCAATAATATGCCCATTACAAGTCTAGACCAATTATTACATAATTACGTATTTTAGTGCATTATTACAAGAAACCTCAATCTTCAATTACTTATATAACTTAGAATCACATGGAAGGCTCACTTAGGTAATTTAGCTTATTTTCAACTCATCCAAGCCATATATATACTTATTCTAAGTTACTAAGGGTTCTCATAAGTTCACTTAGCCAAAAATAATTTTTACGGTTTCCCCATAACTGTACATGCTTCTGTTTTCTAGTCACTGTGCGCAACTCAATTGCTATAAAATTTTCATCTTTTAGTATGTTAATTTAGACTCAATTAACTTTCCAACAAGGTATCATATGCCTCATTTGAAGTTTTCTAGCTCCAGTTATCACCATTTGAAGTTGGACAAGCAAAGCTGCTTCCCAACTCTGAACTGAACCCTAAACATTCTTTACCATTTCTGAGATTCTGGAAAATATACTAAACCAATTTTTCCCAAATTTTTATGCAGACAACTAGACACCTTTAGCTTTAATTCAACATATATGATTCTAATTTGAGTCGGAAATGAGGGAGAAACAATTCGTGGAAGTTGTAGCCATGTACAGCCCCTGCACATGGCCTCCCAAGACAGTCTCTACTCAATTGAATCTACAGAATTCTGTACATCCTCAAATGGTACTAAATTTTGACACCATGTAGCTAACATCTCAAGCTTCAAAGTGATATAAAGAACATTCCTATAGGATCTCTGTGGAGGGAGATATGTTCTCCCCAAATTAGCCTAAAAACTGGTCATTTAACCCTAAGTGTGTTTAATTATCAAACCTTAATTACCTTTGGTTAGCAACTCTAAGTCAGCTTAATTCTTGGATTTTTCTATTATTAGGTGACATTATGAAATCCCACTTAGTCACATTATGTCATGATACCTCAAGTTCACTAATTGCTTGATTAGTGCTCCTAAACCCTAATTAAGTCCAATTTTAGGGTTTAAGATTTAATTAGTGTATTATGCATAGTCCACCTTACTTAACCACTAGATTAATGCCCTAATTAGGTATTAATATTAATTTTAACATAGTGAACCTAAATTAAACCTTCATGGCCCAATTGCATAAGTGTTTAAATAAGTATTTTTAAGCTTATTTCTTAGTCATTTCTTTAGTTAATTAATACCTACACTTAATTAATCTACTAATTCATGATTTCCTTATTTTTAACACAACTAATCCACATTATATCAAAGAGGGAAAATTTGATTATTAATGTTCATTAGAGTTTTTAGCCATTCTTAATCAAAATTAATAGGTTTCACGTAAAGCTAATCAACTTAATTAGTGTTTCTTAGTTTCTCTTGAAATATTTTCACACTTAACCACTTGTTAATATTTTTTAGTCATCAAACCCTTGTTCATCATGAGATGGCTGAACCATCATGTGCCTCCTTTAGGGTTCAAGTTCATTCTTTTCCATGAAATCCACTCAAGGATCCAAAGGTTGCACCTTTACTCATCAAACCACCCATTTCATGGTTTAAAACTCACACACCCTCAAGAACAATCTTCAAAACCATTACTTTACAAATTTTTCAGCAATATTTCCCCACCCACAAGACAAAAATCGTGGCATCAAAAGGAGAAAGGAAGGCTTTTGGATCATCTTTTTCCAAGTGAAGCTTACATTTTCAAGTTCACACATTTGGCTCCAAGCTCCACCGTTTACCACCAAGAATGCTCCTCTAAACAAGAACATACCTTCAAGAACATGTTCAAGAGTTAGAGCTCATGAACACAAGACAAAAAGATGAGATTTTTCAAGAAAAGTTTAGGAAACTTACACTAAAAATCAAGAGAACCAAACACACAAGTGTCGTTCTTCAAGAGAACTCAAGAACACAACTCCATGGCCCTTGGAGCTTCAAAAACCATGGATGTACATGAAGGAAATGACCACGAAAATTTGATTCACACCATGAAAATGGTATGGTTGTGAAGAGGAGAGTGAGGGGAACAATCTTTGTGAAGGAGGTTTAGTGATTTGGAGAGATTTTAGAGGAGAAATCTTAGAGAGAAGCGAGAGCAAGGTTTGAATTTCAAATTTGAGAGAGAGAGAGGTTGGAGGCTCAGGAATCTGAAGGAAGAAGGAAGGGATGGTGCCCTAATTAGGGGTGCCATGTCACTTTAGTGACACTTTATCCTTTAGTCAGATTCGGTGCAATTTTTATCTGAACTGTCGTCAAATTTTTACCCGAAAACCCCTGAGACTCTAACTTTAAGTACTTAACATTAGTAGATCACAGATCCACTAACAATTGTTTAATTGCACTGTAGTCTTTACCGATGTTCTTAACTGTATCTAGATTTCATAATCTTCTTAACTTTAACATTATTGGTCTAATTATAACTTGTTAGGCATATATTGGTCTTTATTTCTATTTTCTCATCTTTTTCCTGTTCCGGGATTCTACCGGCTGCTTTTACAGTAGTGCAAAATAACTGGCAGAAGTGACTTTTCCAAAATACCCCAATATGGGTATCAAACTTCATCAAATCATATCCTAACCTCATTCATGATGTTTATATCATTAGATTAGTTCTCTAACTATAATTTACTAACTTGGAGCTATTCTACTGACTGTTAATACGTCAACAGTCAAAATTAACATATGAAAATTGATCTGTGCAAAATACCCTAAATATGAATGTCAAAATTCTTAGAATTTCATCCTCATTCTATTTATGACCATAAGGTCCTCATCATAACCCTCTAATTAAAAAAGTCATGTAATTGTTATAAAAAAAAAAAAAAAGTCATGTAATTAGGGTTATTATACGGTCAACGTTTTTCGACACATTTTTTTTAGATCCATATTTTATTTATTTTTATCTTTTTAACTAAAAATGAAAAAGTAATTTATAAATTAAATATTTTCTGTTATGAAAATTTACCTGAAAATTTATTTTTTCATTATATTTATGTTATAGAATTTGAATATTTGATTGATTATATGACTTATTATGAGCTGCTATATGTATTAAATGTAAACTATATTATATATATTAAAAATATTATTTAATATCAAAATGTGTCCTAATATGTCAAAATTGAACATTTTTTAGAATTAACGTGTTGGTATGTCGTGTCGTGTCGTATCTCGTGTCCCGTATCAGTGTCGGTGCAACATAGGCTGCAGCTCATGGTGTTGGTTCGAAAAGAACTCGGTAGTTTTTGGGCTTAAACTCGGAAATAGCAAATTCAAACTATGTTTGTGAGATATAAAATATGCAAAATGAGGTGTCATTGTGTAGATCTCGAAAGTTTATGTAAAATTAAAAAAAATCACTTGATTTAAATACCCAAATCAAAAATTATGATATTTCGAAATTTTATGACAATAGAACTGCTTACCTGAGTTTACATGACATCAATCCCATTATTACCGGTGACGACTATATTAATTTGAAAAAATTTATCGAATTAACTTTAACCAGGTAATCCGGGTAAAGTGACTTTAGTTTACCAAAAAAAAAAAAAGTGATCTTTAGGAAAGTCGACTTTATGGCTTTTTGAGCAATTTTGTAATAAGAAATTGTCGTTTTCATTCTCTGGTTGTAATTTTCAATATATAAGATAATAAATTTTAATTTCTGAGGACACGAATTTGTAAATTTAACGCAGAATTGAAACGCGTTATTGTATAATGCCACATAAATTTGTATTCCTTCAAACCTTAGTCTAAAATTGGTTAATGTTATTTTTTCATAACTTGTTGGGATTATTTAGTCTGCTTTTAGACACTCTTTATATCAGAGTCTACATAAGAGAAATTCTCTGACTGTAATCAACATTTGTTCATTTTACAAAAAATTATCACACAATATTTTCTTCATTGTTCTCTTCATCAAATTTAATGATTTAAAATCCATATAGAGTTCATGTGAAAATATCATTTTCTATCTAAGCATCCCCTTTTTTTATAAGATTGCTTTTAAAAAAAAAACAAAAAACAAGACAAAAACAAAAAACATAGTGAAAAGAAACTTAATAAGTGTATACTTCTGCTGTCACTTGAGCATACCAAGACTCTCTATATAGCCCCATCAAAGTTCCCCACCAGGCCACCACCATCAACAAGCAATCTTTCCAACTCACAGAAACTCTCAACAACCTCTCTCCTCTCTTGTTTATCCCAACAAAAGAAAGAAAACTCTTACTCTCTCTGACCATACCCTCTGTCTCATTCCAAACATGGAAGAATGCACCACCCTCTGCAGTGCAATTTATTCACGACTGACATAATCTTAATTCCTCTGTCAATGATGGGTGTGGTGATCACTCCTCACTCTCACAATTTCCACATTGCATTATTCCTCACCACCTGCTTCTTTCACCATTAATTTTGGACCAAACCAAATAGTCTCAACCCTTTGTTACTTCTTATAGGGTATGAATATGATCCTTTAGTTTAAATTATTTCAGCAATCTACACTTTTTTATCACATATAGCACTAAACACCACCAAGTTTCCATAGGGCTATGGCGGGTTCAAACATGACAGTTCTAATCCAAAACGAAAGGCATCCATGCTCCTCGGAGCTAGTTGAGTCTTTCTTGGTTCAAAGTTCTGAACCTTTCTTTCAAGGTGATTTGCTACCATCTTGTTTATAGCTTCTAGATTCTTGTCACTCTTTTTAATGCTTTCATGATCTACTTGATGTTTCCGTTTTCATTTTTTATTTTTATTTTTATTTTTTTAAGAATAGAGAAAGAGAAAAGAGAAAAGAGAAAAGAAAGAGCCAACAAGTTCTTTTGAACAAAATCAGAAGTGGGTTTCTTATGGACTTTGGTTTCCTTCTGATGATGAAGCTTTTCCATGAAGAAGCAAAGGAAAAAAGTCATTATTTTTTTCATTGAAACTCATGCTTGTTTGAATTCTAACACTAAGTTAATGTTTGGTGCCTTGGATTCAGGTTCAGAATCCCTGGTTAATGTTGTGAATGTTAGTGGGAGCAGAGTCACAGATAGGTCCTTCTTCAAAGCGGTTGAGAAAGAAGAGAAGGGTGATGATGAGGACTACGAGGCATGCTTCCATCAACCCGGTAAGAAAAGGAGGCTAACAAGCGAACAAGTTCAGTTCCTTGAAAGAAACTTTGAGGTAGAAAACAAGCTTGAACCCGAAAGGAAGGTCCAACTTGCAAAGGAGCTTGGCTTGCAGCCTAGGCAAGTGGCCATATGGTTCCAAAACCGGAGGGCAAGGTTCAAAACCAAACAACTAGAAAAAGACTATGCCACATTGAAAGCTAGTTATGACATACTCAAAGGTGACTATGACAATATTTTTCAAGAAAGGGAGAAGTTAAAAGAAGAGGTAATAATTGTTAAAGATATAATAAAATCATTGATCTAACATCTTTAAGGTTCTTGACTTGTTATCAAGTACTTAAATGTCCCATTAATGGGTTAAAGGGTACAACTTCCTTGCTGCAGGTTAATTCTCTCAAGAACAGAATGATTGCAAGAGAGAAAAAGGAACAGAATTTAGATGTTAAGTCCTGTTGTGGTGCTGTCAAGTCAAAGCATAAAGAGGATATGGATTTAATCTTAAATGCAGCTTCTGAAAATGGGTTCAAAGTGCCACTTCCTGTTATGGTCATGTGCAAACTTGAAGATGCCAATTCAGCTAAAAGTGATGTGCATGATTCGGAACAAGACCAGTCTGATTTCTCACAAGATGAACAAGACATTCAAAGGGAAAACCTCTTCACCGTGCCATCCTTACCAAAGGACGAAGATGGCTGTTATGATGAACCACCTGAAAATTGTTGCAGTTTTCGGTTTCCAATTGAAGATCAAACCTTCTGTTTTTGGTCTTACTGAGTCATTACTACTTGTGGAGTGTTAAAAGTTAATGGGTATTACTACTACTAAAGAATAAAATCAAAATGGTATTGCATTATGCTATTCATGATAAACAAGATTTTTTTCTTCTTCTTGGGTTTTAAAAATCCAGTGTCACATATTAGTACTTGGTAGTAAATTTTGGAGTGTTACTGGCTAAAATTCACAACTAGTTCTGATATCAGCGCATGAAAAAATTATGTTTTGTTTAATTTGTAAAACAGTTGAAGCATTTGATAAAAAGTATTAATTTTTGTTAACCACACAATTAGCATACACAACCAAAAAAAGAATAAACTGCAAATTGGAATAAGACTAGTGCTCTGTTTTAAAGACAGATGGACTAGTATGTTACTCTTGGATCTAGTGTCTTCTCCAAAGTATCTATAAATGAGATACCCTTGAGTCAAACAGATCACTGTGCATAGAAGAACTATATTGGCTTTGACAAAGGGAGTGTGTGTGTGCACAGAAAGAGCATAACAGTAAGAGAGAAAGCGTAACGTACCTGTAGGTTTTACCTCCTATTTATGGAGTTTACATGTGGATAGTGGATTTTGGGTCTTTAGTGCCTCTGATGACGGCTCAAACCCAAATGTCATACTGTCGTATTAAGATTGGTATCTTTGATGAATATCTTTCTAGTTATATATTTGATTAGCATTCTGAATTGTTTCTTATTGGACTTGTCACTCAGTGGGCCTCGTATATGAGTCCATAACAACTAGTATTCCAAAGGCACATGTTGGAATTACATTAGATATTCGAAATATTTTTCCCATGCACGAATGAGGTAACAGTAACACATGCGTGCGTGACACACCCATCTAACAAATCTCCACATCTCAAACCATGTGAGCTCCAGACTAAACCAGAGGATCCATTGAACAGAAGTGTTAGCCACACATAACTCAATCACAAATATGGTTCTTTCTCAGCTACTTGTCCTATATGTTATTTTACTTGTGTTATATCCCACAAGATTGATCGATCGTAGCCTCAATGTTTACTCAACTATTATATACATGTTTAAGGTTTAAGGTTTAATCTTTCACACCAAACTCTATTAACACATCTTTAGGTAGATTACTTGACCCTAGGCTGCAATCGATTTCTATTTTTTAAATCAAATTTCTATCTCTGATGGGACAGAAGAGTGGACTAATTATCAAGTTTTAAACAATTGAGCATACCCCATCTAATATCGTTTACAATTCACATTGAAAATGTTGACATCAACTGTATGCCTTAGAGCCAACATGTATGAACAGAAGTGAGACTCTTGAATCCCGCGAAAGTTGTTTGAACATTAACAACTTGCCCCATAAGAAATTACACCCTCACAAGTGAAATTAAATTTTATTTAGGCAACTATGTCGGTATGTGAAAGATATAACGTCAAATATGGTTCAAGTTGTTTTTATTAATCTTTTCTTATATTAAAGATTTTGTAGAAAAATGAAAGAAAAAAGAGCAAGAGCAGAAACTAAACATAGAACAGTAAAAAACTGTGTTAATTAGCTTATTGACAATTATTATAATGAATAAGATAGAGAACAGTAGAAATTAAAACACAGTAGTCAACAACGTCATCTATTTTATTAGATATCATAATTGCTTTGTAGCCTTATACAACTTAAGGTCAAAAATATTTTTGTGATCCTTAGAGGAACACTGCTATATTTGGCATTTGCTTTTGGTGAAAGGGACATTAAAAGTTTAGCTCTTTGGCCTCCGTTCAATTTGATATGATTTAACTAAAGTGAACACTAGTCCTTTACTTACTGGATTTTTAATAATACTATCATAGGAATGGGTTGTGGCACAGAGAAGATCAGAAATTTTTTTTGATCCGGAAAACAAATTACATGAGAATATGATGGGAAATTTTTGTTATCGGATAAGTAACAAAAATGTGTTTGGTAGACCAAAATTTTGCAGGAAAATTTGGGTTAATTTTATTAAGGTATGTTTGGTTGATTGTAAAAAAATGATAAGAATATTTCCTGAAATTACGAAAATATCCATTAATTTGAATATTGTTGAAATTTTTATTTTTTTTATACGTTCATCATCATTCTCTCTCTGTCGAAGATCGTTTGGACTAACAAGCATATATAAATTTTTTTGTAACAAGTAGAAATTCTAACAGTGTGAAGGAAGACATTTTCATCATATTATGGTGTCAAGGATTTGCCACCAATAGGAAAAAAAAGGTAATCATCCTTACCAATGACAAAATTTTCCAATCCATTTGTGTACAAAGTGAAAAGACAGTCAACTTTTTTTCTAGACACTTTTTCTTAATCCTTCTACCAAATATGGCCATAATATTTTTTCTATTCTATTTTCTTGGCCAATTTTTTTTTGCCCCTTACCAAACAGCCCCAGAAGAAAGTAAAACTGGTGGAGGCTAGCTAGGATGTTGATGTTGGGAAGGTAAATGTACACTGCCATAGACTGCAAATTTGTACGAGGACCACTAGAAATTAGAGTAAATTAGAGTCAAGTTTTGATTTTACTATAACTTAGTAGAATAACTTCAAAATAATAGAATGTACTTTAGTCTTACTTTGACCGTGTTATATTCAACGACAAAAAATGAAAACTACTAAAAGAAGCTCAAACCGTAATATTGTTCAATGTGTGATTCACCTTGCACCTAACCTAATAAAAGAAATCTAATAAACTTCTTTGAAAAAAATCAATAACATGTCATCATTCCATGACGTAAGGTCCAACAATGAAGTTCATCTTTCTAATTGCTAACAAAAGATCTTGATATTCATTGTCATTGAAAAAGAAAGAAATAGAAAAGGAAAATGAAAGCGGATTTTGTACTTTTTGTAAACAAATACTGAAAAATAAAATAAAAATAAAAAATAAAAAATAAAAAAAGGAAGAGGAAAAGTAGATGTGGCAGACTATAAAAAAACTAGAAAGAAAAACCAAGAAAGTCATGTTAATTATTCACAAATATTACAAAAGTAGAGGATATTTTTGTGCCCCATACCTTGTCACGTAAATTTAGCCATCCATGTGTCGAATGCCACCAGGACCCGAGAATCTTGACGTGGAGAGACCCAATCTTTTTTATATTGTTGTCGATTTGTCGGGCTACATGGCAGATATGAGAAAACTGGTCCAGGTTTAAAAATATGAAATAGAAATGTGAGGAAAGATGGACCCATGGGCTTTTTTGATAGGTTACAGGTGTCTATTTCTTTTGTGGACGATGTTAATAGGTTATAGGTGATGGTCCTTTTCGCGACCCAAATGGGCTACATGCATATCACGTGTTCATGCTCTAGGTAGCGCCCAATCTTGTAGATGTGGAGCTGGGTTATAAGCTAGTAGACAGAGGTGTCTGTTTGGATCTTTTCTTTTTTAGTTAGAAACTACTTATAAGTATAAGTTAGGTCAAATAAGTTTTGGAAAAAGCTCTTATAATGAAAAATTCTTTTTTTTATAATGAAGAAAAAAACTGAAAACTAAAAACTTCTAGGAGGAGCTTTTTTTTAAGCTCTTATTTATTTTTCTTGAATTGTGTTTTTTTTAAATTAAAAGTTATAAAGATAGAGAGAGATAATTTTCTTGAAATATGTGCTTTTAAGTAACTTTAAGCTAAAATTTTTATGTGATTACCAAACAGCTTTTAGCTTCTTTTTTTAAGCTCTTTTTTTTAGTTTTAACTTATAAGTAATTTCTAGCTTAAAATAGAAAGGATCCAAAGAGGCTCTTAATCTCTCATCAATCAGTCAAAAATGAAGCAAGGTGGCTTGCATCGCTTTTTAAAAGTACATTAAAAATAATAATTTATTTCATTTTATAATAGGTTGGCGTGTCAATTTGTTTAAAACAAAAAAAATAAAATATATTATGAGTTTTATATTGTTATTTAATTCCACTCTCTTGTTCATTTTTTCCAATCACAAACCTAATTGTATGTTAATATTTAGTATGACAATTTTTAGGAACTCATTTTTTGCCTTTATGTATGGATAATATTTGCCATAAATAAGTTTTATTATTATTTATCTTTTGTAGAGGAGTAAAAAAAAACTCTCCATTACTAGCAAGAGTGAGGTGAGAGCAATCCTTATACGCAGCCTTACCTTCATATAATTGCAAAGTTGTTTCCTATATTCGAACTTATGACCTTTCAGTTACAAAGAAACAGTTTTATCACTACTCCACGTTCACTTTCTTATCTTTTGTAGAGGAGTAATGAGATAAAATTTTTGGATATTACTAAAGCTTGAAATGATAAATAAAATACTACTTGAAACTAGGGCTGGAAATGAGTCAGACCAAACCAAGCTTTAGCCTAAAAAGGCTAGGCCTATGTAAATTATTTTAAGTCTGGCTTGACTTGTTTGTCTAATACAAGCCAAATAATAAGCTTGATCTGACTTGTTTTAAAAAAATAGAAGGTTTAGCTTGGCCTACCAAGTAGGCTATAAATGAGCCAGATCAAACCAAGCTTTAACCTAATGGGCTAGGCCTATGTAAATTATTTCAAGCCCAGTTTGGCTTGTTAGCTTGATACAAGCCAAATTATAAATTTGACCGGACTTATTTTTAAGAAATAAAAGGTGTGTTCTATCAAGCCTACCATGCCATAAAAATAATATATTATATTACGTAAATTATAGGTTATATGTAACGCCCGACTGCTTCAAGAATCAATGACTATCTCCACATACTAACACGAGACTTTTCAGTGTGCTATTTCCTCACTCGCACACTTCCCGGGAAAACTTCCCAAGAGATCACCCATCCCAGAATTGCTCCAAGTCAATCACGCTTAACTGTGGAGTTCTTCCGATTCGGGCTACCGAAAAGCAGATGCATCTTGTTAGCATAGGTAGTACCAATTAATTCTTATAAGCTATCACAAACTGTGCAGTCTCATACCTACACAGCCTTTGGAATCTCTCTCTTTCGGGTGTCGATTCGATTCATTCATGCATGTAACCCCACGCTGAAAGCCTGTCAGGAGCCGCTCCTTGTCCGTA